GTTCCAAACTGAGGATGCTACCACATTCATCTTTGGTTTGGGACCGAAGAATACAGGGGACAAAACTCATCCCCTGTCACCGAATGAAATCGCCGGATAAACCCATCGTTTGGGTCGTACTCGTGCTTGGGTGTCATCCGGGCCTCATTCACAACCTTCATTAACCTGGAAGGTCCGATTGCGTGTGCCGGAGTAGATTATCATTGGCACCGCATCCTTTGCAGCAGTAGTTGTATGAGGAGAGAAAATCCTCAGGAGATCGTCACACGAACTGAGTGTGCAATTCGAATCAGCCGAATCTCTGGCCGGGTGAGTTCTCCTTCAATCATTTTGATGTCACTCGGCTGGAGCATCAGGCTTGTTGTGATAGCTGACACCGCTATTGGTCGACAGGTTGCAGATAGCAGAAGCACCGGTACATTGTTTGTAGCCATGATACGAGCGCCTATGAGTCCATACGAGGGCCGAAAGGCTTGGTCCGCATGTCGGTCAAAGATCATAAGGAATTTGCTTTGTTTTGATGCAACCAGGCCCCACAGGTAGATCATGTGGGCTTCATCGACCACAATCAGGGCAAGCAAATCTTGAAATTCATCTGAAAAAAACATCTTGGTGAAGAGTGAGCAGTTCAGGAAGACTCCGGGCTCTGAACATGACAGTCGTCAGCACGGCAATTGATTTCTAGCTTATTTGACCTAGAGCTGGTCTCTGGATATCCGTTGCGGATATCCCGCTATCCGCTGGCGGATATCCGCCAGTGCCAACGGATACCCGCCAGCGGATGCGGATGCGGATGCGGATGTCCACTTTCCCCTGAAATCCTGGCGGATATCCGGGTATCCCAGTGGATATCCGCCCATATCGGAGGGAAAAAAAGAAAAAACAAAGAAAAAAGAAAAGAAAAAATAAAATAAAATAAAAAATAGAATAAGGGCCTTAATAAAAACCCAGTTTTTCCCGGGCGCAGCACACACGGATTCCGCATTTGGGTGTGTTTTTTTAATCAATTTTTTACCACTTATTTTTCATGTTTTTTTGAAATTTTGAATTTATTTCCTAGTTTTTAAAATGCATAGAACTTTGTGGTAATATTCAATTTCTTTAAAAATCAAAGGATCACTTTGAAAATTCCAATCAAACATATTTTTTCAATTAATTTCTTACAGCTTGTTTCTCAATAATTTTTGTTACTACCACTCAAGACATGTAAAGAACTATGGTAATAATCATTTTGCATCAAAATGAAAATTAATTCTTGAATATGTATTTGGCATGTCTTTTTAATTAATTATTATAGGCCTAATTTACATTATTTTTTGGAATTTTAAATTCATTTCCTACATTTTGAGAGGTTTCAAGTCTTATGGTATTATTCATTTTACCCAAAAATCAAAGCTCCAACCTTAATATATGAGTTTACCCCGTTTCTTGCATAATTTGTGCTGTATACCAATTTTATTTGTTTGCAAAACTGACATAACCATCAATTTTCAAACCTTTCAAAATTCAGGAAATAAATTTAAAATTCCAACAAATAATGAGAATCAGGCCTGTAAGAATTAGTTAAAAATACATGCCAAATATAATATTCAAGAATCAATTTTCATTTTGATGTAAAATAATTATTACCATAATTTTTTACACGTCTTAAATTGTAGGAAAAAAATTCAAAATGTCAGAAAATATTGACAAATAAGCTGTAAGAAATTAATTGAAAAAATGTGCTTGATTGGAATTTTCAAAGTGATCCTTTGATTTCTAAAGCAATTTAATATTACCACAAAATCCTACGCATTTTAAAACCTAGGAAATAAATTCAAAATTTCAAAAAAACATGAAAAATAAGTGGTAAAAAATTAATTAAAAAAAGAAAAAAGAAAAAAAAATTGAAGGCTTGCAGGCTGCAAGGACTTCAAAATTGCTGTTTATGCAGCTCCCAAAATCTGAAATTCCCCCAAGGAGCATTCATTTTGCACCCTAGGGGTCATTTAAGGGGCGGATATCCGTGGATATCCGCGCGGATACCCGCCAGCGCCAGCGGATACCCGCCAGCGGATGCAGATGCGGATGTCTGATTTTGCTGAAAACGTGAGCGGATATCCGAATCCGAACGGATATCCGGATGCGCCGGGGCCAGCTCTAATTTGACCAGAGGGCAGGCCACTCACCAAGTACACAAAGCTGAAAGCTCCTTTGAGGATCTGCTTAATCGTAGCAACGTTCAAACTCATCTTTGTGAGATTGATCGCGGATATATTGACCAGTTTCTTCTCTCGGACCTAGTGACAGACAGTTAATTTCAATATTTAGTAATCAACCACTCAATATGACTGATACTGTTCATTCTACCTGATCATCACCTAGAGAATCCAACGGATTCAGCACAAGGACAACAACCTTCTTAGTGAAGAGCCCAAAAAACATTTCCAATATGCGTGTTTTCCCAAACCCGGTCCCTGCGCGCACAAACGTATGATGACCTCGAACCAGCGAAACACCGCTTTCACTTGAAGCTCCTTCGGCTGATCCCGGTATAATTCAACCGATCGAGTAGTGATTCGTTCCACAAGTGAATTGTCTTCTAGATGTACAAGCTCGTCTGGAAGTTTGTTGGCCTTCGACTCTACTGGAATATCCTTGAGGAGTGCCATGGTCGCTGATGGAGGTCAGTCTGCTCAGATCGCTATCGTGAAGGTAATTCCATTAAATCTCCAGATGAAACTCATGTTGTCATACCATTGTATCACCGTTATGACAGACATGTAGTATGCTCCTCAGTTATCATTTCAACATCTGTAAACCATGCATCAAATCGAATGTGTCGCATGTGGCGCATGGTACAGGAATTACCGTCTGGCACTGCTTAGAGCAACTCCAGCGGTCCGGGGGGCAACTCGCATGAGTTCCGCAGGCCGCGACCTCATGTCACAGAGGTTGCGGGTCAGTTCCAGTAATGGACTGGCAGTCCTCCACCCTTGGACCAACCAACCTCCCCAACACGATCGACCACAAACCACCTCCCCAAAACGATCGGCCAAAATTCCACTCCACAGCGATGGAGGATCTCCTCCAATGGATGGACGACGACAATTTTATCGGCTGGTTGGGGGGTTGCAATATTGGTTGGTTGTTTGTTTTTTGGTGTATCGGTGGTTGTTTCTTTTGGGGGGGTTGATTTTTTTTTCAATTGTTTTTCTTCTTTTTTTTCTTTGGAGAACTAGGTGTTGGGGTGGGGGTGTTTGTTGAAGATTTTGGGTCAGTGTCGGCCATCGTTGTGGGGTGCTTGGTGTTGTGTGTGGGTGGATGTAGGAATCGCGGCCGGGAGGTGACCCGCAGAAGTCAGAGGTCAATCGCGGGTTGGAGTGCCCCCGGGGATGTTCCCAGGGTCGTTCCGCGGGACCGTTGGAGGGCGAAATTGCCTTCGGGGCAGTCAAAGTTCGCCCCCGAACGCCCAGTCGCGGCTCCGTTGGAGTTGCTCTTAGCACTATTTCCTGCCAGGAATGCACAAAAAATGGCTTTGGCGAATTGACTGACACCGGAGACCATCTTGGGAAAGGTGGTCAGGATCTCCAAAAGAATGCGCATCTTTTGAACCCCCATAGGCTTCTCAAACGATCACGAATGGCAGCGTGAAAAACAATCAAAAAGTAACACCCTTTTTTCGCAATGCCCTGCGGCCGCGGGGTCGACGTTACGCATAAGTCCCTCCTTCAGAGGGTCCCTGCGGGACGGCTTCCCCCCTCCACAGAGGGGGGACTTGGTTAAGTTAGCAAGAGGACCCCCTTTCTGTCAGCCACAGAGCACCTTTCACAGTACGTGAAATGTACCTAGTAACTGCAATAATAATAAATAATTGAATACTGGAAAATATTATACATTGTTGTTAAAATAATAAATAAATAAATATGTGTTTACATTTAATCTTAATTCATAATTTATATTTAATAATTCTACAATTAACTGTGAAATCCCCTTGAGTATTGTACATATAATATCACTAGGATTTCACAGAAATATCATTAGAATAAAGTATCAAAACAATGTTTATTCTTATACATTATGTACATATTTTATAAGCCATAAATAATTACATATGTATAAAGAATCAGCTAGTAGAAGCGTGAAATGGATGAGGAATAAGCTATATAGACTTATCTGAAGCTTACCCATCCTTGATCACATCATCAGGGCATCAGATTGCATCATAACCCTCTTGGATGGCGTCATCAGGACCCTTTTGTGCTCTAATTCATAGCTTGCATAATTCAAAGCAGCCTACAGTTGCGGATGGCAAAAACCGACCCTGGATTTGGAGGGTGTCCGAATATTTCTGCTGAAAAATCAGATTTTTTTTTGGAATTTACATGGTTTTGAAGCCCTTTTGAGGCCTAAGAGTGATAAAAAACTGGCTCAGAGTATTGAATAAACACTCCAAGTTGATGCTACAGGTGCTTGAAGGGGTATGAGCCATGAATAAGCCTAACTTAAACCCATATTTATGGGTTTAAGTATGGCTTTTGGTATGCATGTCCGGATACATGTATGTCACACAAAAAAAAAAAAGAACCGCTGCAGTAAAAGCTTAGCGGTTACAATTTTGAACTCTACAGATCTGTAGGAGTTCAAAATTGTAATAAAAATAAGTATTGGGGTACATGCCCCCCCCCCGGCATAGACCCCGCGTATCAATTTTCGATTTTGCGGGCGGGGCATGGTCGGTTTTTGCCATCCGCAACTGTACACGGGAAAGGAGCCCAAATTCTACATGCAAGACTGAATTATGCATGAAGGACATGCATTTCTCATGATCACAAGCTTGCATAAGCAGATTTACACGTATGCAAACAACTCTACAATTGCACAGCCCCTGCACAGTAAATGTAGCCCTTTCAATTACGTGAGAAATAGGCCACAAAACTCAATTATGCATGTATGATCTCATGTCCTAGGACCTTCCACCCATGCATAGCACTGCACAGCTGCAGCTCCCATCCTTACACGAAATTGTAGAGCTGCTAAGAAGCTCCTTAGTGCCCTGAGGGCCTCTCCTTTTCCCCTGAGCCCCCTGTAGAATATTTAAGGAGCTCAGATTCCTACCTTTTCCCCCCAGGAAATTCTAGTAGCTTCAAACCAACACTTGTACCGTGATTATTAGTGCTTCAAACCACCAATAACATTACAACTCAGCTACCTTAGACCTAAATAGATTTACTTTGCTCAGATTCAAGGCATTTCTACTTATCTCTATTGCATAAAGAATTATCCCCCTGGTTAAACAATTCTGGTCCTTAAGTGTACATACACTTATTCATCTGGATTGTTGTTAAAAGACCTGATCCCAAGTGAGTAGAAGAAGTCCTCACATTGGAAGCCTATTAATCCACGTAACAGGATTGATCTGGATGCCCAATTGAATAATTGGATGAGTCAGCAGTAGAAGTACCATTCCTCACTGATTCCTCCCTGTTTCTTTTACAGGTTGAGGGATTTAACCACGAATAAACCTTCTCAATTACTCTTCTTGTTAACACTCAGAGCACAACCCTTACAGGTTAGTAGCATAGAGGCTGACACTTTCACTCAGTGAGGTATAGCTACCTCACTGCCCAGGAGGGATTACCTCTGGTCAGGTGTGAGTGACCCCCCCCCCCCCCCCTTTGTGTGAGGGGTGGTTTGGGGAGCCAACTCCTAAAAAATCAAAATTAAAAAGATTAAAGAGATTAAAAGAACAACTAGGCGGACAGGTGGACAACTCCCCAAACCAGCCCTCAAATTGGACATTAACTCTCAACAGATGTCTGTCAATGGTTGTTGGGATTCATTCACTAATATTTGGGAGTTGTTTTTTTGAAACCCTTTATTTTTTCAACAAGGGTAAAGATTAATTTTGTAGAAGTGACAAATATACATATTCTCCATCCAGGTTTCACACTTAACTTGACTAATTCCCTCCAATTGGATGGGGACCACTGTCCTGCAGGGATCCTCCAAAGGAGGGACTTATGTGCCAATTTTACCCAGTGGCCTGAGGGAATTTGGAAATCCACTTTTTTCAATCCTGTGTAGCAGCACCATTTTTCAGCTGATGATCATATTTTGGGGAAGCAAAAGATGCACAAGATTATGGAGAATCATGCCATATTTTTCTTGATATTTTAGGTCCTTGGGTGGCATTCAACTTGGCTTTTTGGTGACTGCATACAATTCTCCTGCTTCATCCTGCATCACACATTTTATCTGAAATTGGCAATGTGTTACAATCATCACTATCAATTAAGGTGATGTGTTCACAATTACCATAGATGGGGCAGCTTGAAACATCTCTAAAGTGAAAACTAAAGGAAAAAATAATCAACCAAATTTTTGTTGATTATGAAAAACTCCCAGCAATAAATCCTAATGCTCTCAGGCCGCTTGGTTGAATTTAGACGTCATTCCCTCCCTCCATTAGGTGCAATGCAACAAATGGTTTACCACTTCAACAAAGGGGGGCAGGGACTTAGTTAAGTTAGGTTTAACACAGCATATCACCAACACTTAATTTGGCCAAACAATAAAATAATACATACAATTACAAGTTATCATAATGTTGAAATTCTCAAGATTTTTGAATGAAGGCATTTGAATCTTTGTTCAATTCACTGGCATCTTTTTGACAATCAGCTCAAGCCAAAACTGTAAGCAAAAGGCCATCCTGTTGAGATGAGCCAACTTTCCGCGCCGGAGTGAAGCCCAATGTCGCCTCGGAGTCGAAGTTTGCAACGCAATTAATCATCGGAGGATGCCCCACCGCCGCCGCCGCCACCAAAGGAGTCGTTGCCAGCCCGTTCGACCCCATGACTGCCTGTCCGATCACCGCCATCCGTGCTGTCACCACCCGCCCTACCGCCTTCACCAAACCAACTGATGCCTCTAAACCAACCGCCACCGGCAGAACTGTTGCCGTCATTGCAACCGTCACCGGGAGTGTGAGGTGTTGCTATCTCGTGCCCGCTTGTGTGATTATCGTTGTTTATTTCGGCATTAGAGGAGCTGTCGGAATCGGATGAGTTTTCTCTTTCCCGCTCGTCGTGATCATTCCTTTTAGCCTGTGGTGGGCGAGAGCCGGGAGCATTGCATCAGATGCCCGTTGGGAACAAGGTAGTTTTTCAGTCTAGATTCATTGGTATGATTGAAGAAACCCGCCAAGCAGCGTGTTGCGATGAAATGATAAATGATGCATGGACTGACACCGACGTTGGCCTCTTTATCTATTGGGCCGTTTGAGGCTGAGGACCGTCTGGAACGCTTCCAGATTGAAAATATCATGGCAATGCCAAACAGGCTAACAAAGACGCCAATGATCCCACGTGCGTAATCCGGAAGGCCCGTCGGTTGATGATGACAATTCGGATCTTGAGAACATGCTAGAAGTTCACATATTTATGTAGCGGTTATATAACCAGATTGAGCAAAGTTCAAAGGGTAGACCAACACTTGAGACTCATAACTCACGGAACGGGTATTCGCTGTATGGGTATGAAGATGACATGATTGTCTGACTGGTATCCAGGATGATCTTGGGGGCAATTTTAATTGTATGAACTGCAAGGTGCCCTCTGGTCTGTCGACTCCTCAGTCAAAAGATGGCGAAGTTGTTTTATTTGGCGCTTTTCCAACTACAATTTGGACATGTGACCCATTGCTGGATGGTCATTTCGGTGCTTGCATGCATCTCCAGGAGATTTTGCCCAACTTTGGGAATTGTTGGAAGATAAGTAACTGAGGAGGTCCTGTCAGAAAAACGGTGGTATGTATTATTGATCATCAGCTCAGTTTGAACATCACGTTGTTTATAACAAGTGTTGAAGAAGTGCAAGAAGCAGAGGTTGATGCTGAGATTCCCCGAGTCCCGACTGAGCCTTACCCCGATCCCGGCCGGGGGTGCCTAGGTTCAGTGCTGCCTGTTTTGCCAATCATTCTTCTTCTTCTTCAACAACAACAACAACAATCTTCGTAGATCGATGGTAGTCGATGGATGATGCATATCCCAAGAATCAAGTTCACCTACGGCAATCGAAAGTCAAGACTCAAAACACTCACACAACAATACGATAGCAGCGATGATGATCAGGACATCCAGGTCGGACCTAGTAGCAACAAACTATTCGATCGATTGACTGCCAATACTACTGCTACCACTACTCAGCAACATGCCAAGAAGAATCAAACATCCAAAAAAGAGATCCCTAGCAACATCCATCCTTCCAAGAAACGTAAGAAGACTGACCAGGAGCCCCAGAACATCATCACTACCACTAATCGACGCGTCTCAGATCGATTGAAATCCAATCCTTCAAACCCAGAAACCACCACCAGTCAACCTCAAGTGAATCCTAATCGAGAAACTACACCACTGGATCAGGATCTACTTCTGATTCTACAAGTTCAAAAACCTCAAACTTCAAGTGCTAGGCCTAGTCGAGCTCGATCGGTCAATCAGTCTCCTCAAAGTATCAAAAAACCACACCTTCAGCCCACTCAGTGCTCATCAGTAAGACCACTCTCGAGCTATCAAAATGTTAAGATCTGATTGTCAACTCTCACTTATTAATCTCGTCTGGTTTTCATCTTACAGCCTCAACGAGTAGTCAAGAAGAGACCGAGGACAGAATCTAAAACTGAACAAGACAGGAAGGCCCTACCAGGTCCAGAACTTCCTCAACGCAGGATCACTCGCTCACTGTCTCAGAGATCTCTCGTCCCATCCGAACCAACTTCTCAGCCTATCCGCACTGAGCTCAATTGTCCATTCCCCGATCAGAGAGATGAACACTTCTCCTCGCCTACAAACTCACCCCATCATCAGTCACCTCAGCCTCCCGGATCTGACACGCATGACCATTCTGATATTTTCGCCATCCTCGAATCTATCAAGGCCTGCAACGACTCTGAAGGGGCCGAGTTGAATGGATCTCCCAAAAAGGCTCGTGTAGCACTGATGGGTGGCAAAACTATTTCCCGATCTGGCGCTCTTTCACCCTCACTTTCGTCTGGTTGTTCTCGACCAACGAGTCCGATCGCCCGGCCAGCTAATCGATTACTGAAGCGCGTTCTCAGCACTAGCTCTTGTTCTGATTTATTTGGCTCATCCAATCGAACTTCCAACCTCCCCCCAAGGAAACCACTTGCACGACAACTATCCTCAGATTTCCCACCGATACCCGTCAATCATGAAGTGATCAACACTAGTAACTTAGTCAACATATTCCCGGGTGGCAAAGCGCTGAAAAAAACTTACGGTGGTGAAAGGACATTCAAGCAAGACGAGAACGAGTTAAAGTTGTTAATGCCAATATCTACGCCGGCTCCACCTCGGACATCGAAAAGGTTATCTGGGCCGACCGCGGGTTCGTCTCGATTGACGGGCTCTCTCAAGAGGTTCCAAAGTCGGGAGACATACAGTGAGCTGCGCAAGAAGTGGGGCGTCGATGAAGACGATGAACCTATCGAAGATGAAACTGAGCTGCAGACGACCATCCATCAACGTGCCAGTGGCTCTTCCAAACGATTCACGGATGAGCTGTTCTACTTGATCGAAGGCCTGGTCTCCACAGCTGACCAACCGGACCTCAGCCTCAAACGCTCCAGTGCAGTGGAGTTGATCAAAAAACTTAAAGAACAACAATTTATGAATGAGCTACGCTCGAATGGATTGATCGAGCATTTCTATAACTCATTCAGGTCTGCAGGGGCAGGAGACGGCGATCCGATCCTCGATCATGCCCTGCTCATCTTCATCTCACTCCTCAGTTGTCAAGACCAAAAATTTATCGAACCCGTCCTGAGAATCATCCCCAAAGGTTCTACCGGACTCTTCTCGATGCAATCCGACTGTTTGCAGGTGTTGGGAACTGTCGCATGTCGCAATTACCCCCAACCGACTCTGAAACCTCGCGGAACTTCGCGAAGACATCCTCCATTGGTCAGCACAACTTTTTTTCCTCTTTGAGATTCTCTTCTCATCTTCCTGGAGGGTTCAAAATTTCTCGATCATCTTTGGCTGAGTTTTTCTTGCTGTCTGTAAAACTATTGCACAGGTTACTCAAATCCAGGAAGTCATCCAAGAATCCATTTTGAGGAAACATCTTCCAGGAGCGGTTAGTCTTCCACCTTTGTATTGATGATCCACAACCCCCTCCCATAAAAATGTCTTACCCACATTAATATTCTAATTTGCAGAGCAGTCCTGGATTATTGGCGCTGTTCAGTCTAGCCCGTATCGCCATGTTTGTCCCCCGCCCTGGCCTCCTTCCTCAACGATCTATCGTCCATTGCTCTGCTTTCGCCTCTGCTATCGACTGCTTGAAAGTTTATAGCCAAAAACTTCATGATTTATTCGATAATTCTGTTTCATTTCCAGTAAGTCTTTTGTTTTCTCTTGGGTTTACTTTTATGTTTTTAGAGCCAATGAATCACAACATATAGCCAAGGGGAAATAACAAATGTTTTTGTTATGTATTTTCCCTTTCGAAAAACGTTAGGATTTTTCAACTGGAGATGAACACGATATTTTGAAGCATATAGGGTTCTGCATGGATGTTATCGAAGCATGTACGGTTTGTGAAGAGGACGCATTAAATTCAATTAACTTGTTTCGAGACCCGTTGGCAAGTGTGTTTGGATCACTTATCTCACTCTGTCATAGCTTAGCTAGACATGACCAAACAAAAATATCGATGACTGGTGAGCCGATTTCATGTCAACCGTCCTCATTTTAGGAATAATGTGTTGATCTTTTTCATTTATGGGGGTGGGCACATTCTACAGCATTGGATATTCTGATCGGTTGTTTAAGGACGATGGTCAATGTGACGAACTACAATTCAATATGGGCCTCCGAGCTGAGTACGCCATCGGTTCTACACGCCTTATGTGGCCTGTTTGGGATCTGTCGGGAGGGGTATGACCACCACCGGTCAACTCAAAAAGCGATTAAACGAGCAGAAGATCAAGTCGATCCTCCGTCTGTCTCGCCATCGCTCATTCACCATCCCCAGGGACCTCATGCCCATGATAACCGCGTCGATGATGTTGTCTTCGATCTTTTGTGTGTCAGCTTGGGATTGTTGGCCAACTTGCTCGAACAATCAACTCAAGCCACTGATATGTTGAGAGAAACTCGTTAGTTTTTTTCTTCTTTTTATATACTTTTCATTGTACAAAACTTCAGCTTAATTGAGGCTTGTTTTTGTGGGGAAAGGGATCCAACAACCAGATCGTCGTTCATCGATGACTGTTTCAAAACCAAACCAACACTTCAAGTCGAGTTATGGGTTCGAAGAATTGATCAGATTGTACATCGATCCTCCCTGTGGGAAATTGGTGCGTGATGGGATGACTCAGCAAGTTGATGCGGGGCTACTAAGTCAGATCCTGTATTGATTTTCTCTTTTTAATTTTTTCTTAATAGGACGAGAAAAAATTTATCAGAGGGTCGATTAGTGTTTTGATCAACTTGACATTACTCAATGGCTATGAAGATGCGAACATTGATTTGGAAGATGATACTTACCAATCGGTAAACGAGCTTGAGATCATCAAGAGTTTCAAGAGAGTTCTGGACCAAGTAGGCTTTAATTATGTTGATGATCATTGTGACGAAGAGAAGGGTCACGAGGGAACTGGCGAAGTGACGGGCTTGGATGTGGGACGAGAGAATGGAAAACTGGCAACGAAGAACGAGATTATCAAGAGTTTCTTGGCCGACCTGAAACTCCATTCCGGTGCCACCTCGGCGTCTTCCTCTCTGTCCGTCCAGGATCAATCAATCAGCTCTTCTCTGCCCACCGATCGCCAGTCAAATACTGTTGACCATCTGACAATCTTGGCCGCTTGTTGGAATCGGTTGAGAGTCGAACTCATTTAACATCTCAGCTAACCTCTTGTATGTTTAAACTATCCATCCTCCTCTTTGAGCTTTGGCTGTAAACTGGGACTAGTTTTGTACTTTCTTTAAGTATCACCTTTCAAGTTTCTTTGAAGGGGGGATGCAGTCCCACGAAGCTGATATTTTGTAGATCACTGTTGTATGTCCATAAATACATGTTGTGATGTGTGTCTCTAGACCCATACATATTTATATAGAGAAATAACGCCTGCTTGGTGGTTCGGTTTTGTTAGAATATGCGAAATCAGCTGTTAATTACCCGATCCCTCTACGGATGAGCATTAAGAGCACACAGGTTGGCGGTCCAGTCATATATCAAATTCTGACCCTCCAGCTGTGATCTAGCTTAACACAATCCCCTAAATACACCCACCACCACCATGATAATGACATCATGTTTGGAATGTATCCATGTTGGGCAACAGTCTCCATCAATCTCATACATAGAATCAGAGACCGACCTCGGCTCCATTTCGTGACCGGGTGGTCTCTTGAGACTTTACTCTGAGTGACTTTCCAGGGCAACCTGGACCATGGTGTTGTCATTCGTGGCGTACTCTCTGGCTCCGGCTTGGTATCATTTAACTCAGGCAACTCTTGTGCTGATGTCTTGGAAGATTTGGGAGTCTTCCATGAGATGAAAATGGGCTATAAATGGCCACCCCTCAACAATTTCCCAACTCTCATCATCGACTTTAACAAGTCACCTCCACAGGCGGCTCATCAGAGCTTTGGATTCCGTTATTTCTCACAATTGATCAGTAAGCTTGGTGTGCCAGAAAATCAGCCATCGATTCAATTTCGGTACAAGCATCGAACTTAAGAATTGCATCCAGCTGCGCCAGTGAAATTAAGGCTTGTTTTGTATCGCCTTCCTAGTAGAATCAAGCATTTTTTCCAAAGACTGTGTTGTTCGAACAGGTTGACGTGCACGTCATGGCAAGTTGATTGGAACCCAGAGCCATCAGTCGCATTCTGTGATCTTTGGTCATGTTTCACTTCCAGCTCTGTCTCAGTAGTAATTTTATTTTATCATATCGGAGGGTCTTCTCGCAGTTATAAATCAACGTTAAATTATGATATCACTCACTTTGGATTTTGCTTTACATATTTCTCTGGTTGCTCCAAAAATTCACTATAAAAAAAAGGACCTTTCCCAGTTGCTTGATCATTTCTGAGATGACCAATCCAAATCTCAAAGTTGTAGTTTTATGGAAATTAATTTCAAGGCAATTATGATTTTTTTAGAAAAAAGGAACACATATTTCATCCACAACCGACAGCTATTTAATCCAAACACAAGACCAATAAATAAGGAAAATCTAAGCAAGAAGAGACACTATCCCAGCCAAAAGAAGGGAGAATCCAGGGGTAAGGACCGAGCCTGAGAGCTCCGAAGCTGAAGACTGTTTGAATTTTAGTTTGTAAACAGACAATCAGTATACACAAGTGATGAAGTGATGGAAGCAAGTGGGATCGAATGAGAGGGGGTGTTGAACATACTCTGTCACCAGTACCCTGGTCATCTCCCTTCTTCTTTCCGCCATCAGGAGGAGGTCGAGAGCCATCGGGCTTTTTAGCTCCAGGCTTTTTGTTCGCTGGGTCGTCCTTCGTCGGTGGTGGTGGGTTCGTCTCCGGATTCGGTGGAGGTGGGCCGTCTGGACCGACGTTCTTTCCGGGTGGACCGGCCTCCTTTCCAGGTGGACCGGCCTCCTTTCCAGGTGGACCAGCATCCTTTCCGGGTGGACCAGCATCCTTTCCAGGTGGACCAGCATCCTTTCCGGGTGGACCAGCATCCTTTCCGGGTCCACCTGCATTCTTCCCGGGTCCGCCGGCATTCTTTCCAGGTCCACCAGCATTCTTTCCAGGGGGACCGGCGTTCTTACCCGGGGGTCCTGGGGCGTCCGGAGGGGGCGGTAAGCCAGCGTTTTTGCCAGGAGTCATTGGTCCAGGTGGGGGAGGAGCCCCGGGGCCTGGGGCTGGTTCTGGTGCCTGGGGGTCAAGAGAAGGTGGTGGCCCAGCATCCATTCCTGGACCGTCCGGGTTGGCGCCTGGTGGACCGTCAGGCTTGGCATCTGGGGCACGCGGTGGACCCACAGGCTTCGCATCCTTACCCGGCTTCTTTTTTGCTCCTGGTTGTCCAGGTTCGGCACCTGGTGGGGACGGAGGCTTGTCATCTTCGGCTGGGGGTGGAGCTGGGGTATCGAGAGGAGGTGGTGGTGCTGCGGTGTTAGCTGGAGGGTGTGGGTGGGCCGCTAAAGAGTTGGAGAGTGAGCCCTGTATACTCCAGTATTCAGAAAGCACCTCTAGTCAGTAATTTGTCTAACCGACAAGCTCGGTGGAGTAGACTTGAATATATAATTCACCTCTTCTGATTCCGCTTGAGGTACAGGTTGCGGTCGAGAAATTGCCCCTCCAACTATTGAGAGAAGGCATGCAAGCCTGACAAAATTGGAAGAAAGCATGCTGATAGATCGAATGAGTTCCTTGCCTCAAAGCTTGATATAATGTGATGATTGCTTCTGTTGCTGGTGTATAGATAGGAGGATTGTTTTGATGAATGAGAATTCTGTTCCAAAGACGATGTCTATTTATAGGCGAAATCGAAGCAGGCACCGGCCCAAGGCAGATGATAGACTGCCAACCTACCGGCTGGTGGGGAAGAGTGCAGCACCGAGACGGTGTCCAGCTCCGGCAGTTTGAGATGAAAGTTGTCCTACTGTTGGTAACGCTTACTGATTAATTTTGCGGCATCTCATCATATCTCTTACAACTTTGGGATGCAAAGACGGATCCATACTTGGTCGGTTGCAGCAACTGGAGCTTCCAATCGCCAAAGCCATGGGAGAAATCATTTTAGCGAAGAGGGATGTACACATTCTTCATTGAACTGATCCCCATCGTTTGACCAATCGTAGCTCTGATTCCCTAAGCTTGCGGAAAGGATGTACCTTTTCAGTGCCACTTACCGACGTATTTAGCGGTCCCGGGGTAGGTGAGTGATTCGATGAGAAGATGCCGACAGTCCACCGCAACCCGTTTGTATGGTTCCCGCGAAGGCAGCAGTGGGACCCTCGAGTAAATTAAGTCTGGATTGGGCAACCCATGCAGGTCCTTCACTCATCTGCTCCACTCTACTTATCGAGCATATGATGAGGATTCATATGAGGCTCGCCGACCCGGTAGAGGTAACTCACTGTTGACCGTTTCCATGATGATTTCCAATCTCTAGATTCAGTTCGCCGGGGCCATTTGCCCGTACAAGATCAATTGTGGGCCATCAAGTTCCAGGAAACAACCGATTGCGAATGAAGGGGGAGACTACAACCCACTCTACGACGGTCGCGTCATGCCTAATCAACGCAGTCTGGCTGTACATAGTTTTTGACTCAAATAGATGGTCCTTCTCATGACCATTTCATGTTACACCTTGGGTTGAATATTCAAGTCAATGCAGGCTACGATTGGCCACTCTTGAAGGGCCGCAATTTACCATACGTGGTTGATTTCCTAAAAATACACTTTTTGCACAACAGAACGGTAGTTACTGGCAATCTCGGCGGGTGCCAAACCCCGGCTTTTGTACCCTACGGAGCGCGTGCTGATCTTAACTCAATACATTTTCACATCGGCGGTCAACCTCAGAGCCCCCCGTACAAAAATGGACAAACACCGGGCTAGCTCAGCCATCTTGCTTAACATGTGGGGTATCTGCCTGGCAACTTGTAACATTGGCGAAGCAGCAGGTTGTCCCTTGACGACCAGCACAATTACTCACATGTGGTTAGACATAAAGTTTGCACTGGGTGAGGAATAACATAACAGTAAATCAGGACTATATCGCTTAAGAGTTGAAGTGAAAGTTTCATGGCATGAATGGTAGCGGGAGCTTCTTAGTGCGGGCGGGAATGGGCAGCTAGCGCAACGAGTCTGTGGAGCGACTCAATCCCACTGAGGGATCAATGCTCCAAGGGACGAGTGAAAGGGCAGGAGAGTCCTTTGAGTTATCAAGCCGACATTATAAAATTGCAGGATAGTGACTACTCTCGTTGAGCACCAGCCATTCCGACTACAGGCTTTCCCCTTCGGTCGCCACCAGGTCGTCGATCGGTGAAGATCTGGGCCGAGGTGGCCGCAACGTTGACCGGAATCTTGTCAAAGCCGAGAGCTCGGAGCATGTCCTGGAGATTTGGGAAACAAAATAATCAGAATACGTCCGGCTGGTTCAAAAGAGGGTCTCGTTGTCAATGTTCAAGCACCAACCTTGGTCTCGGGGTCCACATCCAAGGCGGTGCCGGTGGTGTCGAGGGCAGACACTTCAGGAACGTAGTTGTCCTTACGCTCTCGCTCTTCCTCTTGGAGTTTGAAGGAAATACCACGGACAGGACCTCGTTGGATACGCTTCATCAAGTGGGTGGTGAAACCAGCGATCTTGTTGCGTAGGCGCTTTGATGGAATGATGGCCACCTCGTCACATCTGCCACATGATTTCAAAGTACAAAATTAATGATTGTCACGGACATGGGGTCGTTCAGGACTGAAGAAGGATATCGCTTACACTCGCTTGTTAACGTGGAAATCGGTTACAAGACGGGGGTAGTACTTCTCGATGATAACTCGAGAGGCCCTCTTGACGGTCTTGGTGCGCACTCGACCCTAGAAACAAAGAAGAGCCCAGAGGAATGGCGATTGCAATTTCAACAAAGTGTACAAAGAGGTGGCCAGTCGTTGCGGGACAGGACAGCTGATTATATCGGGTGCTGGCTGCTGAGATTCCTCTTGAAGATCGAGAAACATCCAGGCGAGGTACAATCGGGGAGGGGGATTGATGCAGGGATTCGATCCTCACCATTTTTAAATGTTCCTTACCGAGTTTGACGGGTGGTTCGACTGTTTCGTTGCTTGATGGATGGGGACGGTCAGGCTATACCGGGCGAGCTTGCGAGCACTGGTTTCCTCGAGCCGGCGGGGGGCTTAACAGTGGCCGACCCAGGTTGGCGGGGTGCCGGAAACCTAACTTCACCCTGCGCAGTCTCTCATGTTGCGCAGCGTTAGCATCGCTCCGTCGAACTTCTAGTGTCGAGACTCACCGCTACCGCTGCCCGGCTCAAGCTCACCGACCCACCATCCCGACATACAACCGACACGACCCGGCCCAAGGACGAGGCAAAGGTGCATGCTCCCCTCATTGCACACGCCCTTTGCTCCAGCATGGCCTCCACTAATCATGACTTCCATCCACCCGTTCTGCTTTTGAAAGACCGACGAGGAATATTTGTAGTTCAAGCTCACTCGAATTCAAGTCAAGATGCGTGTGTCGGTTCTGGTGAGTCTGCTAGAATTGTTTCCCCTATCTTGCTGAACTCGCCTTGGCTGACTACCCATTTGCCTCTCTACCCAGAACGATTGCCTAAACAACATCCTCAACGCTGAAAGGCGAGGAAAGCGCCAGGTCCTTATCCGACCCAGCTCAAAAGTTATCATCCGCTTCTTGACTGTCATGCAAAAACATGGTTAGTTACTCTCATTTTCTATGTTGAAATTGGATCTTTGATCGGTGGCTCATCACCTCATTTTCCAATTTAGGCTACATTGATGAATTCGAATACATCGATGACCACCGATCTGGAAAGATCGTCGTCCAACTGAATGGTCGTATCAACAAGTGCGGTGTCGTTTCCCCCCGATTCAACGTCCCTCTCGACCAAATCGAAAACTGGGTCGACCGACTCATGCCTGCCCGTTCCTTCGGAATCATCATCCTGGTATGCCATCATCCTCATTACCCTTGTTTCTTGCTCCACCAAATACCCATCTGGTTCTTCACTGCTTGCACCTCTAGACGACCTCGGCCGGTATCATGGACCACGAAGAGGCCCGTCGGAAGCACGTCGCTGGCAAGATCCTTGGATACGTCTTTTAGATTACCGGAGCTCTCCCAGACTACCACTCCATGCTTGCACATTCGACATCCCGTAAAAGGTTCTCCCCGACCAGCAAGTTGACTGTTGTGTAATATTGCCCAAAGCAATGACTTGAAACTATTTACGCACAGCGACCCATTTTACCTGCCGCCAGTTCATCAGGATGGCGATAAGATCAGCTTTGAGAGATACATCAATAGTGAAGACCATCAACTGAGTTAACCCACAAACGTGCAATGAGCCTCAATGTCATCTCAATTCATGCAGTTTGACACCGAGGTCCTCTGGCAAATATACCCTCAGTGGTTCTTCTGGGAAGGTGACGTGCCAAGTTTCTGGGTAGTCTTGTGCACAAGTGCTGCAGTCCTCCTGAGACATGATAAAAATGATTCTTCAATTGCTAGACCCTACTAGTATTAAAATATAATGCTATCTGACTTGACTATAAGATAAAAATTTCTAAGTCATGACTCACAAGTATAGATTTGTAGGGCACTTTCAAAACAAGTTAGACATACAAAGCATGAGAGTGATTACAAACCTCCCTCACTCTACATGACAACGCAGAAAGGGCCTGGCTTGCAGTCTGTTGTTCTTTGTTTTTTTGCTGAATTCCTTGTGACATTGATGTAGGAATGGGGAGTGTGATAAGTGTTGGTTCTTCAGGACTTCGAAATGTAAAAAAAAGGAAACTGAGTAGCATAGCCCATGGAAAAAACAGTTAGAGTGGAATGCCTTTCCCAGCTCGCATCATGTGGCCTTTTGCCTGGAAGGAAAGAAGAGTTATAACTTTGCTTGATCTTCAAAGTGCTCCAAGCCTCTGGTTGTTCAGCGTCAGACAGAGCCCGCCCAAATTATGTACTCCAGCTGGAGGGTGTTTTTGGACAGCAGATTGGAGTTTTTTTCAAGCTGGTCTGAGTTTGGAGTGACAGCGCTTTCCGGTCCAAGCGGGCCACTTATCAAAGGGGAGAGTCGTGCAAACTTAATCTCGAACATAAGCCACGCGATAAGTTACATAATCGAGCTATCCCGATCACCGGGCTCGAATATCCTCCGCACTGCTGCCATCTGCCCATGAGTCAGACTCAAGCCATCAGGCGACTCACCCAGCACAAACACTTCCTCTCTCCCCTCACACGCACACTCAGCAGCAGTAGCACATCTCAAACCAATCCCAACATGAGTTCTCAGAACAACAACACCACCACCCGGTATGTCCTCTTCTCTCCAAGGGAGTCAGACCATGTACATCGCTAACACTATTGCGCAGCTTGATCGGCGCCCCAAATACCTTGGGTACGTCGTTTTGCTTGGCCTTCTTCCCTTTCCATCCCTCGATGTAACTGTTTGCCATTCTGAGGGCTTACGATTTTTTGTATGGTAAAAAAAAAACCCTCATTACAGAGCATCGAGTGTATCTGGAGAACAATGGGGCAGTGATTTCAGCGTTCCACGACTTGCCGCTCTTTGCCAACGAGCAACACAACGTGTTTAACATGATCGTCGAGGTCCCCCGATGGACGAACGCCAAGATGGAAATCTCCAAGAGCGAGCCTTTCAACCCGATCTTGCAAGACGTCAAGAAGAATAAGCTCCGATTCGTCCGCAACTGTTTCCCCCACCATGGGTACATTTGGAATTACGGCGCTTTCCCTCAGGTCGGTTCCTCCTTCTAGATCCATCACCAATCCTTCTCTGATCGGTTTATCACTTATGCTGATCGGGGATTTTTTATTTTTCTGTTCATCTTCCTGCTCTAAGACTTGGGAAGATCCAGCTCACACTCACCCTGAGACTAAAGCCAAGGGTGACAATGACCCGCTCGACGTTTGTGAGATTGGTGAAGCGGTCGGCTACGTTGGACAAGTCAAACAAGTCAAAGTACTCGGGGTGATGGCCCTGCTTGACGAAGGCGAAACCGACTGGAAAATAATGCAAGTTGTGGTGACCCTGAAGTTTCCCCGCGCGGTGATTCGATGCTCACACTTGCCTCATATATATTTGCATGCCTGTAGTGTGGTGGATGTCAATGATCCATTGGCTCCCAAGTTGAACGACATCGAGGATGTCGAAAGACATCTCCCTGGCTTAATTCGGTCAGTTCAATCCATCCAGGCTCATCAGTCTTGCATGCCCAATTTAATCCCCCCAGCTTGATCCAGTGCAACCAACGAGTGGTTCCGGATCTACAAGATCCCTGATGGAAAGCCCGAGAACCAGGTAGGCTTTCCATCCAATGACCCCCCTTCCTATCATTTTTCATGGTGTGACTGATATGATACAAACGTCTGTCTATCATTTCAAAGTTCGCCTTCTCTGGAGAAGCCAAGCACAAGAACTTTGCAACCGACGTGATTTTGGAGTGCCATGAGGCGTGGAAACGGTTGATGAAAGACGGATACTCTGGCATTTCGCTGTGAGTATCACGATTTGCAAAATGATCGATATGCCAATTCCAGACCCTGAATTTCAAGAGGAAAAAAAAATTGACAGGGCTAATACGACCGTCGAGGGGTCCCAACACCGGGTCGGACATGCCGATGTGCCCTCCGACAGCCGCCAAGATCCTGCCCCGATCGACCCCAGCATCTCCAAGTGGTTCTTGTACGTCTCTTTCCGATTGGTTAATTTGATCAAGCGCCCGATCGACGTGCTGAAGAAGTTGTCGCTTTTGATTGTCAGCATCTCTGGCCACTCGGTATGAGCGCAAGCTCAGATACAAGCCATCTGATAATCCATCAAACAAAGGCGAAAAAAAAAACACCCAAACTCCTCAACTTCTGACGAACTAGACCTTCCCAGCACATAGAAAAAAAATGAACACTCAGTATGAGATTGGCTCGACTTGAGAGAGACGTAGCTTGATCCATCTGGACTGAAATTAATGAAATTTGAATCTGGTTTCCTTATCCCCCCCAAAAAAAGACTTTGCGCAACATTGCTCTGCTGCTTGTATTCCACGATTTGAGGTACATTGCTGAATAACGTTTTTTTGAACTCGAGTACTTTATGCTGTGTAGTGTGGTGCTGAATTGTGGCGAACTGATTGGTTTCGGTGATTTGCTGTTGCGAAGCACAAGCCACCCTTGGACCATTGATATCATCTTTTGATACCTAGTGACATGGGAAGATATGAAGAGGCCTGAAGCCTGGAAATGTGATCACTCTGGGTATGGATTGTTACAACAAAGGTAAAGACTGAACTCATCTCAATATTATTCTACATGGTCATTAAACAGCTGCTGTCCATAGCTGTTGCTCTTCATATTATGTGCTTGGAGATGGTATAGTTGTAGGATTGCTTGAAGGTAGATTTTCCTTGAAGAACTGCTGCACTTGCACTTGCTGAGTAAGTCCAAGCTGCAAAGACCTGTGTCCACATACTGACTTCAATAGATTCTGTTGACTATCTATTGGTGATGGTGCATCTATCTATGTCCATTGATTTACTACTGCAAATGGGCCCCATGAGGCAAATGATGAAATCATGTTGGGTCTGGTGATATGGCTCATTCACTGTCATAGGTTTGCTTTCAACCAACCTCATGAAGAGAGTCAACAGTTGTCAGGTCACCTCATTTGTTCCCTCCTACTTTTTAAAGCTACATCCACCATGTGTTTTTTGGGACACTTTATACCAAACTATATCAGTACATTTAACTTTGTCTGTCCAACACTTGAACAATCTTAATGATCTGTTTGTCTATCTCTTTATAGATGAGGTTTCATATTCCTGCTGCGGTTTGAAAGACTTTGCAAGGATTCTCTGTACTACTTAGAGCATCCACATCTGTGGGGGTTATAGCTAGGAAGGATAGCAATGGTTAGCCACTCAACAACATAGCAACCACCCCACACATTCCACATTGGTTGCAGCTTTTTTTCAGAATCAACCACCCCCCCTCCACTGTGCTAGCAACCTGCAAGCAAGCATCCCATTGGAATAACTGCAGGGTGTTGCAGTGCTTCTTTTGAATGATCAAGGAGAACAAACAATGGCTAGCCAACTTTGATGAAGAACTTACTCTGATTGCTCTAAATTGTACTGGTTCTTGGCTCCAATGCAATCAAAATGATTATGTCCCTTTGATCCAATCACTCCACATTGCTATTGGAATGTTTCTTTTCTTACTTCAATCAATCCAAATAGTCTAGTTTTTTTTTTGCTTTCTTGGATCAATCCAAACATGGTAGTTTTTTTTTTCTAGCACCAACAATCTTTCTCAATAGCTGTAATTTGTACTTCAATTACACGTATTTGCTCAACAAACCAGAAGAAAAAAAAACATGTGAAAAATGAGAGCATTGATGTGAGTGAAAAGTTTGGTGAGAGGTCAAAATTGATGAGAGAAAAACAATGATTCAAGATTTAAATATACAAACTAATCAATGGGCCAGTTGTAATCATCAACATCAAGGTGCTCGGTGACTGAATGGAAGTATGGCTGAGGTACAGCTACTTCCAGAAAGGTTGTTGCCTGGATCTGGATTTTCCAAGCATGAATCAAGAGATATTCATGTTAAGTTTGCAAATTGATCCACAAACTTGTGCTAAAACAGTAAGTTCACTCCAAAAATGCTGTTTGAGTTTGGTATATCCAGTGGTTTTTCTCAGAGGAAAATCCACACCCTGTGTGACAACCTTTCTGGAATTAGCTGTAATGGTTGAGTAAGATCTGAGTAACAACCCAACTTTGAAGAGAGTTTCTGCATGTCAACTCATGGTAGCAGTTCCTTAGAATTTTTTTCATGGCACAGGGTTTTAACTTTTACTCTATGGTCAATTTGTGTATTTGCAGCATTCACTGGTTCTCTGCAAAATTGCTTCACTGTAGCCAAACCTGGAATCCATTGTGCTTTCAACCAAGTCCAATGACCATGGGGAAAATCTGGACAACGTGTCACCATCTTTTTCAAGATCTTCTTGAAGTCTCGGCCAGCTTTGTGTCTTATAAATTGAACAAATATTCAATTAGATTCAAGGTGAATCAAAGACTGAGCAACGTACAGGATTAGGTAAACCATGCAACCAACCAGCTCTTCTTGTTACTTTGTACTTCACCTTATAACAGGGTTATCAATGTCTATCCATCACAACGCTGCGTCAAATTTTTAGCTTTCCTGAGCCTATCATAATCCTTTTTCCGGTGCTCGGAATTCCGTTTATCAAGACATGAAGCCATGCGTATCCGGGCGGGTAGATTTCCGGGGAGGGGGGGACGACTGCCTGTAGCGCGTTAGCTTGCGGATCAACCACAATTTCCAACTTGACTAGACGAGAGTCCATATGAACCGAATGTGTTACTGTCAAAACAAATCAATCAGGACATCAATTGTTAGTTTTGGAGCGATAGAGAAGGATTGCCGAAGAAGGTTTCACCGAATCCAAGATCCAGTAAGACAGCTTCCACACGCTGCTTTGAGAGATCATTGCCAGTTCCGCTGAGTTTCACTTTAACTTTGTCCTTATAGTTTGCCATGCGAGGAAAATCAGAAATCACAGGTCGAGAACGATCGTTTAGATACGGGGGAATCAACCATTCGACTCTGTATTCTGTTGCATATTTGTTGGTCGAAAAATCTTTGTTTGGATTGCTTCCTGCGATCATTATTTTTCCGCTAGGAACCAAAGTAGACACTGAATGATAAAGTCGAGGAATCGTTGAAGTCGGCATGCCCATGGTGGTGAATCGCTGTCCGGCTGGCGCAATAGGATCGTATAGCACAGGTGTATAGTTTGGATTGTCGGCATTGGAATTCCCGACTTTATCGACTAGATTTCCGTAACCTGCCACACCCTATCAAACGTTTCTAGATCAATATTTTCGAGCTAGTGATCAACTTTTAGGACGTCAACCAGCTGTGAGGTATTATACTCACAGTCTTGGCTCCGTTCACAATCAAAACCTTCCCGTCTGGCATCATGATCAAGTCGGGCATGATTCTTGGACTAGGCATCTGCTCTGTTTTCCAACCCTGTTTTATACCAGAAGTGGTAAGCACCATCCTGGCGCATTGAGAGCTCGCTGGATCAGAAACCCTGAGAGAGGCGACAGGTAATCGATCATCCAAATTTGTTCCACCGCAAACCAAAACCTCGGGCGTGTAGGCATTCTGAGCAGACAGGGGCAGTAGAATGCCTGAGCCCGTGAACGGATAAGTAACCCGCACTCCGTTGGGAAACGGCGGAAGTGGAGTTTCCGTGTTGGTTTTCCAATTATAGAGTATCGCATCATTGTTAGCTCCGATGAAAATCACGTCGGGTATAGGCAGAACAATGACGATTGGGAACAAGTTGGTTATCAAAGTTCGGTTCAAGAAAGGCGAGTAAATCGGAGGTTTTGCACTGAATGCAAACTTTTTGGGAGGATAATATTCGATCGTCGGATTATTAATTTTGGCACTATTCCTGTTTTTCAGCAAAAATTAAATGAGAATAAGACATTAGTAAATGTCATGGCGAGCGTGCCCAATGTGTTTTTGTAACTATCTTACCTGAAGGCACCCTCTGTACTCCCCCCAACGATCATCACGCTGCCATCTGGAAGACGGGCTGAAGTAGGATACCAACGTGCAGTGGTCAATTTGATGCTGTCGTATTCGTTGATAGCACATTTGCCATCATCGCAGGGTGTATAGAAACGAATGGACTGAAGACCATTTGTATCTCCAAACTCCCCTTTTTCGAATTCAGGCGCGTTGCCCCCTAAGCTGTTATTTTCGTGGAAGGTTAGGGAAAAATCAATTATCACGTTTATTTATTTTTGTGTCGATTTTTTTCATCTCACTTAAGCAATGTGCCGTTGGCGAGATAGCTCCCGCCAGCACAAAAGGAGTTAGACTTCAAGCTGAGCGGAGTGACTTCGTCAGTCTCCAAGTTGTACAACGCCGCCCAGGCCGGGCGGCCATTGATCTGCAGTGGATTGTGCTCAACCTAAACCTCCATAGAAATTCAATAATGGAAATAAGTAAATCAGCGCTTCGACTCGCGACTTCTGAGAACTTGCATGTTAGCAAACTGTAATTTAAGTCAGGATTACCTTATCGATAATCAGCACATATTTCTCGCCAACAACCGAAATCTGCTGTGCCGAAACACCTGTTTTTCCCTGCTGCAAGAGCGACCAGCTTGCGGTCGAAGCATCTTGCCTCTTACGCCGAGCGGCCCTGGGCATTGCCTGATTTTGAAGTAGGGAGCCGGAACTCGGGTGTGTTTTTAGATATTTCACGTCTGTCGTTGTGGATGAAGTATTGGTGGCCGATAGCGTTTGCGAGGAAGGTGATGGGTCATCCCGGGCGTCCTTCGCGGCATAATGGACTATTTTAACTAGTGAATTTAAAGAATCGTCTTTCGTGGAATCTCCCGTTCTCACAGAAGTGGATGATGACAGTGAAGACTCGACTTCTTGATTTTCTGAGAAAGTTGCAAACCGATGCCAAAGGAGAGATACGAAAGCTGCACCCAAGACCAGTAAAACGAACGGAGAAGAGCGGGAATCTAGAAGCATAGCGAGTGCGATGGGATTTTGTTGAAGATGAAAAATTCACAACCCAGGAATCCCAGGGCATTCGTATGAGGTGAGGTATTTATTTAGTGCCAAGACAGTCCAAAAGTCTAAAAAAGTGTTGATGGAGGTTGATTGGCGGCGGCCGGGGTGTAAGACAAGACTCTCACAACTCATCAGCTCACCGCTTCTTTAGGAGATTTTCTCAGCTCTCCTGTGAATGTCCAGTGTTCATGAGCACAACTTGATCTACGGAACTCTGTTGAGGCAAGTGTCTGATTACATCACTATGTATACTATAGATCACTATGGACCCACTACATGAAAGCGATCCCTACCCTCGGATGATATCAGCGAGATTAACAGGTAAAGAAGGCCTGGAAATGGATGTGAATAAGTGTGTTGGCATCAGTCACTCTTCAGCTTCCTTTGAGGCCTGTGTTTACAATCGAAAGACTTGCATTTCCTAACAATTAAAACAGTCCCAAAAAGGAAGCAAAGACCTAAAGGAAAGCCATTAGGAGACAACAGATAGAGTGTACCTCAAATACATATTGAATGAAAAATGAAAACCCCGAAAAATACTGAACATGTTCAAGCGGTTGATACCGACAGAGTTAGCCAAACCACTAAAAAATGCAACTGGCAAATGCATAACTTGACAAAAACCAGTTCTTGGTAACATGAGTATCAGAGCATTGTCATACAGGAGATCGGTTCCTTATGTCATCTTGAGGTGTGTGATGTGGGACATGTTTTCCCAATCAACACCGGCCACATACTTCAAAGCATGGTTTGCCTCCAATTTAACATAAATCACCGGAAACATTTGTGCTAGGTTTGGTCTCCAATCAGATGGTGGCCCCGATGGGCTGAATCCATCCATCCATTAGGAATGTGTGGAAAAAAATCAACCGTAATGAGCCTTCGACACCGTTTGCCAAAGGATGTTAGGCATGCTTGATGGATGAAAGAACCATTTGAAGTGAGACTTAACCAAGTGCCCCTATTGGAGGGGAGACTTTGGAGGGTCCCTGCGGGACAGCGTTCCGGTCGGCGCAATGCGACAAGTGGTTTACCACACCGACCAGGAAGGGAAGGGAGTTAGTTAAGTTAGTTGACGAGAAATGATTTTCGGTTCATACCCTCTGGCCTGGTGCATTGCAGCGATACCGAAAAGGCGCATCGCTTTCGCGAAAAAAAATGGAGGTTGTAATCTGCCAAGTGACGGCAAGAGTTCAAGAATTAATAATATGCATCCTTCGTCGCCAAAATACTATCTACCTACCAGAGCTTTGCTGAGGAAAAGCTGCAATCGGTAAAAACATTTGGAAAAGATCTGATGATCAGACACCACAACTTCAAAAACTGCTTGGCTGAGCTCCCTCAGCCTTTCATGGTAAGCAGACCCATATGAGTTGCGGAACCAAGCTCGCTCCGGTGATTCACTCCAAGGCAAAAGCCTTTTGGAATCAGTCATGACAGTCAGTAGTAGTACTTGAATAAATACATGATCTATTGACATCCTTCCAGGTGCACTTAGCCAGAATACAATCATCAACCCTTTCTGAGTGGACTGAGAGGCTAAAATCATATCTAAACGTTTCACATAAGATCCTCGTTGTTTATCCTCAACTTTGCGCTCTTTTTATTCGAATTTTTCCTTCTGGGACTTGATACAATTTGGCCAATTCATGGCAACAGTGTGGCGACATAGTTCATGTAGAAATGCATTGATCTGGGACCCCAGCCCTCAGAAGCGAGGGGATTGTGTTAAGCTAGTGCATTGATCCTCCTGGTAGGTCCAAGTTCTCCCAGCATTTCCCGAATTTCATCATCTTCCTTAACCATGTCGGATTTCGAGTTATTCCAAATTTGTTCTAGTCTTTCCTACGCATTCTTATTAGTGTCACCTGAAACCTTTCCAAACGGTGCCGTGTCGCCTATATTGATGTCCCTCGAATTCAGACTGATGCACTCACCATTCGAATTATCTTTTGCCCATTCAAAAGTTGCCTCTCTAACCAATAATCCACTAGGTACTGCCTCTGCAACGAATTGCCCAACGAGCTTTCAGGGCCTCTGTTTTCAGCACCGTCTTTCGACTTTTGCCCAAAGAGATCTTCCATTTTCATCATGAAATTCTACTTGATTTGAGAAGAGGTATCTCGAAGCCTTTTGATCTTTGTTCATACATACATAACCGAAATATCGGCGGTGGATGCTCACTGTGGGCCGCATCCAGCCCTTATGAATGGTTCAGGGGCGGTTAGGGAAGGACGGCTGATAGCGAGTCACAAAGCAGCTGCACGATTTATCATTTACCAGTCAAATGTTTCATTGTCAAAAATAGCATCTCAATACACGTAACTTATTTACACAGCTGTAAGACGACAGTAGCTTTGGTTGGCGAAAGCCAATGTGATGGAGAGTATCAAACTCTATTCGTGGTCAACACGAGACAACATTACCGACAAAGGGGAGAGACGCCTCGCTGATATGCATCACTTTCGTCTAGTTGGCCCCAAAATGCTCGACAGTGGAGCCACAGATTGGAGGTTGCGAAAGGTGCTGTCTGAACTGTGAACGATCAAGGAAATGAAAAGGTCAGTATACTGATTCTAAACATTGATGATCATCGGGAAGGTCGAGGCAGTGGAAAGTGTCGGAAATCAGAATTATCAACTGGTCATCCACGACAAGAACAAGGACACCATCAGAGTAGAATAAATCTTTCAACGAGCTTATTGAAGAAAGTTCACCGATGGTCCGTCGTGCAGGGTTGAGGCTGCAGAGGTCAAACATCGGAGACGTCCTTCCACAGCTTTCACTTTGCTTTTGAGGGCGAAAATGGTGCTGAGGACAATTCTACTCGGTTATCCAGAGACGTTCAAGTCTAAGCGGGCTCTTCCTATTTGGTGTTATATGATCCATCATACGTTCCTCCAATGCAATACATGCATGGTTGATTGAGCTCTTGAGAAGAAAGATTAAAAATTTACTCACCACGAATCACTCATGTCTTGACTGGGGCCAATTGACAACATCAGAAACTTGAGCCGCCGCCATGTCGGAGTGATAGGAGGACTGGAGCAAGGGATGGTGAAAACCACAACCCAGGTGGTGTTTTCGGAGCAGCTGAAGGTTGACCGGGATTGAATTCCTCTGCGGAGTTTCAAAGTCTTGGGGGAGGGTTGCAGTGCGAGACCACACCCGGGCGGATAACTTGCGGCGATTTTCGGTTTGATTTTGGTTGATGAGCTGCAGAACGGCTGAATTGTGGTTCTGGCTTGCATTTGCATATGTGTATGCATATATGCAAATAGGCTTGCGCGGCTCCCGCGCACAAAGGCCCCAAGAGCACAGGCACACATCTTCCGACAGACTATCACCGCAGACACCACCTTCACCACTTTGCCATTGTAAGCTGAAGCAAACCACCGCCCATTCCTGGTGAGTCGATAAGTATCATCTAGTGCATAGCCGGAAACCTGTAAAGCTCTGCTTTAGACCAGTTCGGCAAACTGATCATTGTCTTTGGGGTGCATTTTTATGACTTGACAGCATCGTACAGAAACGCTCCTGCTCCGATCGCAAATCGTGGACGCGTCTTTACATACGAAGGGTTCGCGTATTTGCCCTTGGCTTTGTTCCCTGTAACCTGGCCTTCAAGTACTCCGAAATGAATTTCGTTTGAAGCCGGACGTCGAAAACTTCTGACGGATATTGATTGATCAACCAACTTATTCAGACGCTTGACTCAATTAACAAGAACATCACCTTCCCTTTTGCCCTCAACTATGGTCGAACGTCAACCCTTAATCCCGCCTACCTTTTGCGATCTACCAACCCAGAGACTCTATGTAGTCTCTTCATTCGTCCTCATCCAAGCCTACAAATTGATACAGTTTCTCGATGTCATTTGGTCGGGTTCAATCAACGAGAGAAGAAAATTATGGATTTACTGGAGCCTAATTGATGCCTTGTTAATCGGCTTCCTGATACCGTCTCTTCGCATACCTCGTTTGAGATATAACATCATCCAAAGATGCATGATACTCGGCTCGCTCGTATTCCTAAATTGGTTCTTTGTCGGTAACTGGCATCTTCAGTTTGGCTTTCTTTGGGTGTTTCTTCCAAAATCGATCAAAAGTGAGCTTGCTTCATCTTTTTGCCATGTGGCCCATTCCTGATCACATCCACAATATTGCTTGTCCCGCACGTAGATTTGTTCAACTATCAAACAGCCATCATGGAATACAAGGTCCGGTTGAATGACGTCATTAGCCCATCGTCTCACATACTTGGGAAGCACACTATTCATATTCTGCCCCACAGCACTGCTAAGCTCAATCCCTCTAGCCAATGCTTTTGTTTATCAGCTGCAGTCCGGTCTGCTTTTGTTTCTATTCCGATCCTCTTCAATAACTCGATTCCTCATCTACTTCAGTATTCAGTCATGAACTTCACAACCGGTGAAAAATTATTGAAAAATTTGACTCATGCGCAACTACAACCACTTACGAAGCAGAAGAAGACTCAAAAGAGCCTTGAAGATTGGCTGGAAGATGAAGAGGGTGAATGGTCTCTCGAGAATGACAATCAGGCCCAGTCGAATCAAAACCCTCGCCCAAGACCGCAGCAATCAATATCCTCGGGCGAGCTTAAATTGAGTCCAACCCAGCACCTTTATAACCTAGATATACACCACATTGGTGTTATACGACTAGAAAGAGTTCTCGACAAGGATAATATGGACATTCGTATAGCGCGTACTGAAGCTTTGGTCGTGGAATGTCCTAGTGCTAGTTTCTTGTCGGACCCCGCCGATAGTGGTGATAAGAAGTTTTCACCCTGGCCTTCTTCAACTGGAGCAAAGGAAAATCATAAGTGTATTGGTGATACCGAAAACTTTGGACTTGTAGTCAAGGGTCTTGCACCATTATCTTTAACATATCAGCAGACCGTCAATGGGCAGCGGAAACTGGTGAAACTAGAGGGCATCTCTTCTGGTGAATTGTTTACCCCTTTGACTTCGATTGATACCTCCACACTGGCCGAGAAGTTATCGGTCTCTCATCGTCCTGAATACACTTGGGCTGAAAGTCATTCAATCGAAATCCCCTTGAACGTTAGTTTGACGACACCGGGCCGACATGTCTATCAACTCGACAGTCTGAAAGACGCGTGCGGACACCGATTCGATTTTGATAAAGCACGCGAAGCCTCCTCGATGTTCGCCCGGCAAGAGTATATAGATTCAAAAAGCGTCCAGGTGCACTCTAGAGGTCAAATCAGTTTTGTTGACTGCGGCAACACGGACGATGAGCCTTTGCGGTTACTCCAAGGAAAAAGTGTCCCTCTAAGAATGTCGATTCAGCTACAAAGTGATATGCCCGATCCACCCTGGATGGTGGGAATTTCTTACCAACCGAGCAAATCTGCCAACCCATCGGAATCAAAAACCTCTGGCGCTTGGATCAAAGAGCTAGCTTTTAATGACCGAGAGAAAACCTTTTGGGCGAGGGAAGCTGGCGTATATGAAATCACTTCTTTACAAGGAAAGTACTGCCAGGGAAACATGTTGGTGCCTTCCACATGCTCAGTTGTCGAACAACCAACTCCAACGATCGACCTAAATTTCACGTCGATTACCGATAAATGCTCCGGCGAAATTGGTCTTCAAGCAAACTTTCTCCTGACAGGAAAGCCGCCGTTTAAGCTTCATTATCTTATCTCCCAGGTGGGAAGAAGCCCGCAGGCGAAGGTCAAAGTTATCCAACACAGCCGAGATGAAATTCTTATTCAGCCGGACTCGCCGGGCCAATTTGAATACAGCTTTATTCGCTTAGACGACCAATATTATCAAGGGGTAGAAATCATCGGCAAGACGATTAAGCAGACCGTTCATCCACTTGCTCATGCGCGATTCGTCCGAGGAGGTAAGGATGAGAATATATGGAGCTGCAGTGGCGAAAGCGTCGAGGCGGACATTGAACTCAGAGTATGTTACCTCTCCAAACGGTTTGTTTCATCCTACTGCTGATATCAAACATATATCTACGTTCTTGCTTTTGTCTACAGGGAGCCCCACCATATAGCGTTACCTATCAGATCCTCGGAGAGGAACCGAAAATGATTGGTGGAATTTCATCAAGTTATGCTACTTTGGACGTTGCGATCCCACAGAAATACATCAAAAAAGGCGGAAGCTTTATCGTCACACTTATCAGTATCAAAGACGGAAATGGATGCTTGAGGAATTTGACTGTGTCAGATTTGAACATTGAAGTTCATCGAACAAAGCCGACATTGAAATTTTACGGTTCCGAGAACGAGAGAAAGATAGTTGCGCGCGAGGGTGACATGGTTGCCCTACCTATGCGCCTTACTGGGAATGGAGTAAGTCTTGATATTTGATCTTCTTTGGACAACAATCTCAATTTGCTGACCTGGTTTCAATGCATTGTCATGCTTTTCGACTCTGATCTTGGTGAGCTCAGCCTTGGACGATTGAATACACTCACAACACGGATCAATCGATCAAAAAAGTGATCTACGGCTCAAACGACGACCTTCTTGTTGATCAAGCTGGCAAATATACACTTCAAAGCGTCCAAGATCGACATTGTCCTGGTACAGTCGAGAACCCAACCTTTTATTTGGAGTGGATACCCAAACCCAGTTTGATGATATCTCCTCACAATTCTGGTGACCTTATTCGTGGTGTGTGGATTAAACCGGCAATCTGTGAAACTGTAGATGATAGCATAGAATTAACGCTCGAAGGTAAGTAACGTTCGAGCCTCCCGCACGTTTAACTGTTTTTGAAAGTTTTCTTCTTTGATTTCATATAAAGGAACGCCCCCCTTTTCAATCAACTATTCGGTGCTTCGCAAGCCGCTTGGAAGAGGTGAAAAAGCCGTCAAACAGTCCAAAACTATTCAAATCCTTAAGGCTAGCGGCACACTTCCAATGCAGACATTAGAGCCCGGTGAATACGTTTATACAATCCATAGTTTGAACGATCACATATACAATACACCAAGCTCGTCTGGATTATTGAACTCACAACGCAGCGGAGATATTCAAGTCAAACAAGAAGTTCTGGCCTCACCTCAAGGGCTTCTTAACATCTTACCTCGGACGACCTACTGCGTTGAAGAAAGCTTATCGGCACAGGCTAACAAGGGCGTCAAGATCGAGCTGATGGGCAAAGCGCCGTTTCAAGTAGAGATCGAAGTAAAAAACCAAGTTACTCAAATTTCAGAAAACTTCAAGCTCCAATTGCAATCGAAATCGAGCTTGCTGGATTTACCTTACAAGTTTAGCTCAGCTTCACCGCATTCGATTAAGATCAAATCGCTAGAGGATTCGAGTAAATGTAAATCGATCACCACTTCAAGCGAGAGCTTTTCGGATAGCTTCAAAAAACAGAATTCACAATCGCCAGTGACGATCGAAGTGGCTGAAATTGCCTCTATCAAGCCGATTAATGATAAACCCTACTACTGTGTGGGAGAAAACCTCGAATTCTTGTTGAAAGGATCTCCTCCTTGGTTGATAAAGTACGAGTTCAATGGACATCAATCAAAAATCAATGTCAACTCGCAATCACAATCGAAGTTTTCAAGATTAGCTCAAGAGCCCGGACTGTTCAAACTACTTGAGATCTCATCTTCCTCGTCTGCTAGTTCGAAAGATCCCAATAATTATTATGATCACAGCAGCCAGAATGACGTTTGCAATTCTAAATTGAAGTTCGAACGGTCTGTCAAGCCGTTGCCTGTTGTTAAAATCTCTTCGGGTCGATATTTTATTGAAGATATTAGGGAAGGTGATCAAGTTGAGTTTCTTCTTTCACAATTCAATCTACAAATCTAAAAAAAAAACTGATGAGGTATGTTTTGATCTTGCAAAAACAGTCTGAAATAACTTTCACATTCGAAGGAACCCCGCCCTTTTCATTTACATACATAAGGACGGTTTCAGATGAATCCAGTTCATCACCATCTTCATTGAAAAAGTCAAGTGAAAATTCCAAGATCAAGAATTACGACAACAAGAAAGGTGGTGAGCGGATCTTGGAATCCAAGACGATTACTGATATTTATGAGTACAGTTATTCCATATTCACCAAGCAAGAAGGTACTTGGTCTGTTACTTTTGTTCAAGGTTAGTATTTCATTTTCTCATTTCATACATGTATGCGTTAGAGTCTTCACTTACTCATCTGTTGATGGATACTTTGCTTCCCTAGATGCATTCTGCTCATTTCCTCCTTTTTCCAAAGAGTAGTGATATGTAGTCTCTACACTATCATTATGATGAAAAATACCCAAATGCTTATCTTTTCTGTCCTTTCCTCTGATACTTGTTCATCATTTTAACAAAACTGGTTCCACCATATATGCCTTTATTTGTCGCAATCCCGCGATGATATCAACACCATAAACCTAAGCCAACACATTGTTGCAATCCCACTATCTCACCTTGCATAGATGTTAAACCATAAGCTCATGTACACAATCTATAATTCTAATTTATCGTCTTCTTTTCTTATCAAATAGGAAATTGTAAACCTGATTAGATTATCATAGAAAGAACAAGTAAATGGTTACCAGATAGTTGCCCAAACTAACAAGTTCATATCTGCCAGACAGGCAATCATGGAAATAATGCTTGTTGCAGTTTCCTTCACTTGCACATGCAATTCACCCCAAGCTGGAGTAAATAATTGAATGTGTGTTTGAATCAATCACTCCACATGAAATGTGAGGTCTGAAAATAAATTGTACATTGATTCCATCTTATTGCGGAACAGTCCATGCATACAAATATATTCCCTGGAAGCATTGAGAGCCACCAATATTCCTTAACAAAACACCAACAAGTTTGTTTAAAGCAATTCCCATCTGATTAAAGTTTTCCAACTTACAAGGCAGATTTCTGTCAGGAGGTAATAATTGTATGTGAACAGGGCTACAAATTTTTGTGGAAATATCATTGAAGTTTGGTGATCACACCCCTTACAATAGAGTACATCTCACATAAAATTACCCACCTTCTAACAATCCAGAAACGTCCTATAAGTGGCCTGTATGTTTGGTTATGATGACTCACTCTGAGCTCTCACCTCCCTCTTGATTCTCCTAAAATTGACATTTGATGTCTTGGATTTTCATCTCATTGGAAACAAGAGTATCAATTCCCAGCCAAATTCAGTACAATTTTAAAGTGGTATCAATTGCAAATGAAACCACACCTGCATAATTATAACAATGACAAATAAATTAAATTCAAGAAGATTGAAGAACACAGGAAAGACAAGTTCAGTGTTTCTCTGTTGAACTGAAAGATGAATTGCATTTATTGTAAAGATAACAAGAAAATTGGATGGAATTAGGAATTGAGGGAAAAATGCAGATGAACAAATATTGAAAACAACTTATGTCAGACAAGATTATATTGAACGTTCTGGGCTATCCTTTATAGAAACAGAAAATAAAATCACATCACATTGGCCCTGAATGAAAAGATAATGGATCAATTAAGTAGATAATAGCTGCAGAGACACAAGATGATCAAGCTGTTTGAGATTTAAAAGATATAAAATTTGTGAAGAAAATTATGGATAGGGTTGTCGGCGCCACTTTTGAAAAAGTGCGCGCCGACGGGCGCCGACCAGGCCCTCTGAAGGGGCGCGCCTTTGGCTGGCGCAGGGGCGGCGCGCCCAGGCACCATTTTTTTTCTTAATTGCTCACATTATAGCTCATAATAGTAAGAAAACAAGCGGAAAAAAAAATTGATTTATGTGTGCAGGCCAAAAAGAAAAGGAGGAATGATCGTGATCATTGAGAAAACCACAGATCAGTGGGGTTCCAGTCAGTTTCAGCAATCAGATTGGTTTCGGTGTCTTTAATTTCGATCACATCGTTATCGGGTTGTGGTGGAGCGGTTTCAAAAAAATTGAAATCGAAGATTGTATCGATGAAGGCATATTGCCTAGATGTATCCACACTGTTCGGTTCATCGGCGAAGATTGCCTCTTCAAAGGCCTCTAGTTTGGCGGGAGTGAGGAATGTATCGATTGGACTGGTTGAGTATTGCCTATCTCACTTTCTGATGTCCATTCACGAACCCTCGGGCCCCCCCCATCATTCCCAAATTGGAAATGAAGTGCCTGACAGGCTACAGCCTGTCAGTCCGACTGTCCAATGCCCATCATTTGTGCAGGGAGAGCCACCGGACTCTCTAGGCCGTCCCTGAAAAGTTAGGGTTAGAGGTGCGCGCCACCCCACCTTTTTGGGAAAAAGTGCGCGCACCTTTGGCGCGCACCAGGGGGTGGCGCCGACAACCCTAATTATGGAGCTGCTCAAGATTGGGGAATAGAGGTTGGATGAATGGGGCAGTATATTTACCCTAGTAATAATGTAAGCTTTGAATAGTGTGCTGAGTAATCTACCCTAATTCTAATGCTGGCTGGATAAATAAAACTGTAAAATAATAAAAGAAAGGGCTTGGAAAAATGACTCCCTGGAATTGGAGCAGCAAGTCCCAAATTTCAAGGATGTCTGTGTTCTCAAGCTAGAATGTCCAGACTCACTCCAGAGACAGGCCAAGGTTCAATTCTGGGCCACTGGAAGTGGGAGTTGTCTCTCCAATCCCATCTTTGAACTGGGAGTTGCCTCCCAAATCACCAAATTTAATCCTGTCAGCCACTGTTCCAACTGACTAAGGATGATTCCTACTTGGAAATTAGGTATAATGTACCTACTTGCCAAGGCCAATTACTAAATGAAAATTAGGGACAATTTGACTACATATTAAGTAGGTACAGTTTATCTACCCACTAAGTGGGATCCTTGCTTGAACAGTGGTCCGCTTATTATTGACAGAACTGCTACAGCTTTTTCAGATCACATATTTTTGTGGGAAGATGATGGTAAATTAAGATTAAATGTCAGCATCAAAAACTACAGTTGTGTGCGGCAAATTAATGCTCAAAACCAACTTGGTTGTGTGGGGTAAGGCTGGGGGGCCAAACCTCCATAGGATGATATTTTTGGAGGTTTCAGACTGTGTAGATTCTAGATCCAAAGTGGCAACCAAATTGGTCCAGCCAGTTTGTTTATTTGTTTTTTGCCGACCATACGGACACATGACCTTGGGCCAGACTCTTCCTGGCGCCAAGGGGAGTTGGATCGAAGTCCTGGCCATTGGGACAGGACTTGAACAGAAATTTGCCATGTGAAACTGTAAGCTAATTACTCCTTCCAGCTCTACTGTTGTGTCATCGGTGGCCAAGTTACACTAGCCGTAGTGCTAGTGCAGCATAGTGTTAGCTTTTTAAGCTACAATACAAAAAAGTTACTGTTAGTGGAAATTTTGGCCCACTAACACTACAGGACTTCTGAAAAAGTAAAAAAAAACTTTAGCTTAGTGTTAGCTGACTGAAAAAAAAATCCAACTAACAATAACCAAATCCCTTGTTAGTGGCATTTTAGCGTGGTTAGTGGCCTAAAAGGTTACACTAACTGTTAGCGTAGTGATGCCCTCAGTTACACTAACTGTTAGGGTAACTGATCAAAAAGTTACACTAACTGTTAGCGTAACTGATCAAAAAGTTACACTAACTGTTAGCGTAACTGATAAAAAAGTTACACTAACTGTTAGTGTAACTGATTGCTTAGTTGCACTTGCAGTTAACGTAACCGATTACTCTCCTCCAATTGAAAAAGTAGGTGGAATCACTAGGGTTGAGAGTTTGTTTGAGAATTTGGTTTTGAAGCTCCTGTTTTTTTGGCTTTGTACTGTTTCTTTGCTGCTTTGCTACTGGCATGATTATTACTATCAAGAGATAAATTAGTCCCAAGGGTTTGAATCACCCAAAGATACATTTATTCCATCATTTAGTAGCCAGTAGCAGCAAAGGGAAACAGTAAGAGTAAGAAGAAGCAAAAAAAAAAATAGATCAGCACCTGCAGAACCTTAACACAAATTTGAAATCATACCGCTTTTTTTGGCCCATCCTGTTTGTGATCCACAGTCAATTTTCAGCCAAATGAGTGTGGAGGTACCTAAATCAAAGAGGGGGGAGGGTATAAAGTATCAGAGCCAGGGTAGCAGTCTTCCAGTGTGTTCCCTTGTGGAAAACCCATTGATTTTTGATGGTTAACTTTGAATAGAAATAACTTGTGCAAAAGTGGTCTGATTCCCTTAATTTTTGGTTCGTTGGAAAGCTGAAATCAAGGGCTACAACTTTGTCAGCCATCGTACTGACTAAAAACAAACCGTTGCTGAGATTGAATTGATTAAAGTTAGTCCAATGCAATCCCATGAGAGACCTAAGTTTGATAAAAGGGAGTAAGCTGAAGAGACCTTTGGATTGGAGGTGGTTATAATGAGTATTTAATTGAGATGAAGATCAGATTGAGGTTTGATGATGATCAATTGATGATGAGGATGAGGATGAAAAATCTTGATGGGGTCTTGCTTGGATCGGAAGAGAATGGAGGTCCAACATTGATCTCCCCTTGCTTGAACTTCAAGTTCAAACTCAGAACCCAGGGAGTGAACATGTCACAGTCCTGTACATGACATCCTCTTGCTGACTGAACCTCAACTCACCAACTTATTCCTCATATATTGCTAGTCAGGCACAGCTGGCAATTGGATGTCACATACAGTCTGCTGCGACACCCGCAGTAAGGGGGGCCCCTTGCCGCGGGTGTCGCAGCAGACTGCACGCAACATCCCAGTGACAGCTGTGTCTGGACATGCTGCTAACCTCTCATGTCAAGTGTTCAATTCCACCTCAAGGCATGCATTTGTGTTATTGTCTTGCTTGACATTTTTCATATGTCCACCCTTGTGTAGTGTAGCGTAGTGTGGGACCAGTTACGCTTGTTAGCGTCAACTCAGTTACGCTATCTGTTAGTCAAAATTTTGTTAGCACAAAAAAAAGTTACACTACCTGTTATTTTAGCGGTGATTATTTGAAGCTAACACTACAGAAAATTTGAGAGAAAAATTTCACGCTACGCTGGCAGTTAGCTCAGCGGTGTTTAGTGTGCGCTAACACTATAGATCATTTTCTAGAGAAAAAACAGGCCGCTACACTAACATTTAGTGATCAAATAGCGTAGTGTAGCGCAGCGGCCCACCGTTGGTTGTGTTGCTCCAAGTATCACTCAATTAACACTTTAATTCTTTGCTTATTCACATAATTTGTGATTTTGGAAGACAATTTTCAGCTTAATTTTGGAGCATGCTGACAAATCCCTGCCAAATATCACTTTTTTTACAGAAACTACTTGTTGAATTTTTTTGGACTAAGACACGTAAGAGAAGAGGGCCAAAAAGAGATGAATCCTTTTTTGGGAAAAGCTCACGGAAAATGAGTGAAAGAGCCAATAATTTTATTCACTTGCAACTAGCCAGGATTAAATAGACTAGGTACAAGTGGTCAAGAAGTGGTTGAAAGAAAAATGAATAAAGAATTTTTCTTGAATAAAAACTGAGAGAAGATAAAATAAGTTTTTGAAAATAACAAACTAGAAAAAACTTCTCAGTCTCTTGTAGTCAGACCAGATGAGTTAGTCAAGACAAAGTATTTTAAATCACAAAT